GGCCCCCGCCGTAGCACTCCACACTCCCCTGCGTTTCGTTGCATAGGCACAGCTCTCCTCTGCGTCTCACCATTGCCGACGCAGGTGAGACACGGCTAAGCTCGTTCTGTAAGCAGATAGTGGCAACGTTCCAAGACGCTTCAACCGAAAGAATACTCACCATGTGATACCCTTCCTTCTCTGCAAACGCGTTAGGTCTCAGACGCAAACAAGGAGAGTCGGTGTGTGTTGCTGTTACGCAGAAGCCACCGGTGTTACCGCGTCCAAAGCTTTCTCCTGAGACCAGACAAAGCAACTGTGACCTGTTGCAAACCCCACAGCCTACACGTGGCACCACCTAGCCGGAAGTCGGCATGCTCCGTGCTGCAGCTACAGCTAGATGGGCTCAGTCGTAAGAAGATGGCGGAGACGGCGGGAAGTTACAGAACGAAAGGCCCACCAACAACAAACGCCGCTATGCANGTAAGAAGATGGCGGAGACGGCGGGAAGTTACAGAACGAAAGGCCCACCAACAACAAACGCCGCTATGCATGAATCGTTCCTTGTAACAAAATATTTGCCTCCGCAGGAAATCTCCCATTTGGTCCTGTGAATATTGGCAGGGATCATGGTAAGCCACGCATCACGGCACTCCCAAGCAAAGCAGATCCTGCTGCACCGGCAGTGGCTGCTGCTGCCCTTCCATCACTTCTATGTGCACCTCTAGCAACAGTTTTGACTTCATTTTGCTGCAGACAGCAGCTGGGTGCATGTGAACCCCACCGCTCGTTCAGCTCCACGAAGTCTGCATTTTTAAGAATTTCCTTCACAGCCTGCACTGAGTGGTAGGGTGAACCTGTCTTGTTTATAAAGTGGAGAAACCGCTCAGCGACAGGTTTTGCCAGTTCCAGAGCCATCCTACAGCGACGGAGACAGCAAATGCCGCACAAGTCGACACACCACTCATGCAAATGAACTCCCAGAATGGTAGCCGTAACGGAATCATAGATAGCCAGAGGATATCATTGGNCCACTCATGCAAATGAACTCCCAGAATGGTAGCCGTAACGGAATCATAGATAGCCAGAGGATATCATTGGGTCTGGAGGTGTGTATTTGTTCACGTAGGAGGCGTCGAAGGCTTGTAAAAGCCTGGAAACCTTAACGGCAAGTCGGACTGCCTGGTCTGTCCAGAGGAACATTGACGTACTTGTCACTTTGATGCGGAGCTAGCTTTCCTATGAACCGCCTTGGCGACAAAAATACCGATTCCCTACTCAATGAATTGTTTTTACTAGCTCCCACTTTTCTCTTGCCACAAACACACGGCAGGGCCCTGGGGCCCAGCGGCTCGTGATGGGGCTCAGGCAAGAACTGAAGGCATTTAAGGAGCTATAGAAGAGAAACAAAAATTAAAATTTATGCAAATAACAACAGAATTAAGTTACTCCCGAGCGTTGCGAGCTCCATGCAAAGTGGCGGACTAATCACATACAGAGCACAGCCGCTGGCTGCGTCTGTTGCTCCGCAGCCTGCTCCATTTGCAACTTATTAGCAATAGCAAAACCCGTACAACCCCTTCTTAGTACTTAAAGATGGAGCGATCCGCTACATCATTTGGGTAAAATAAGGAGCAACGCTTCAACCGACGGGCTGGTGGTGTAGGGGTATCACGTTCGCTTCGCATGCGAAAGGTCTCGGGTTCAATTCCCGACCAGTCCAGACCTTTTACTTCCACGTCGTTCTTTATTCGCTTTAGTTCTTTTCGGAGAGTTTTTTAATATGGTGGTGCAATGTAGTGCTCCGCTCGTGCTGCTGTTGTTATCTTCGCGTTTACTGCTCTTGGTGAGTTCTTAAAAGTGTACCACCGCAAGGAACCGCTGTGGGATGCTTTACATGTTTCATAACAGCTGCAGTTCATATTACGTAGCTGTCCGGCCTAGTAATTCAAGCAGATAGGGCACACACTTTTCTGCTACTGGTGGCGGCAGCATGCCTCTCCTATACAATCGCCTGTAATTCTCCTCGACGGGAAGGCACAAGCACAAGCACACAAACGCCTAGGTTTGGAATTACCGGCTGCATCCGCTGAAAGCAGCGTCGCCTATGAGTAAAAATTATCATTCAGCAACTCCATTTTGAGACCTTGCTGCCGTTTGGTGACCCTCATCCCTATGTTAGCATACCACAAAGGCAAGT